GGGGGAGGGGGGGAGGAAACTGGTAGCCCTGACATGGTGTTAAGAACAGAAGAACTCTGGTCCTATAAAGAAGAAATTTCCATTTATTGCTGATTTGCTCATCGGATGGCCATTGCTTGTGTCTAGGGTTACTGACACACATTATGCTCTCCAAAGAGGAGGAGCCTTGTTCAGAGAAATTCAGAGTTCACATACTCTATTTCTGAACAACCTGTAATCTACTTTTGCATTTCATTGCAATATTTCTCATGGGTGTAACTTATATCCTGCCTGGAGTATTTTCCCAATTCAGGATTTTCAAAAGACACACTTACTGAAATAAAACATGGGAGACAATATGTAACTAAGGCTTGGAAAATCCATTTACTCGTGAGCAAAGGAAAAACTCTTTAAAAGATGCTAATAGGCTCTGATTGTCCTGTGTGCAATTTGATGTCTTCATCTTGTAACAAAACTCACAATCTACAATGAAATTCCTTGTTATATGTTCTACTAATAATTATCATTTTTCTTCAAAGAGCCAGACAAGTATTGGCAGACAAACTAGTGCTAGCTGATTTAATAGCACTATGAACTAGTAAATATTATTCCTATTTTACACAAATGTAAACTGAAATAGATGGAATAAGTATCTTATATTTCTTGCTGAGGGTCACAGAGACAGTCCCCTTCCAATTAGCATTCACATTTAGATGATCTGAGTATTTTAATGTGTCTCTAGGTCACTTTGTATTTTTCTCTTTTTATGAATTGGGCTAATACAGATTTATTTTTTTTTTCCATAAAATCCCAGTGCGCAGTGATTGCTGTTTAGCCATTTGCTCAGGGATTCATCATCTGAACACTAACTGCTCAGTCTTTGAAAGTAGATTAATTAAACAACATAGAACGTGATTCTCCAAAAGACTTCTGTTCTTTAGCTGAGGTGTGGTGACTTTGTTCAAATAATATATCCTGAAAACAAGCTGTGTAGGAATGTCATCACCTTGCTAGCATTTTAAAGTGTGCTTACACATCTGACTTCACATTCCTCTCCTCAAATATCTGATTCCATATTCCTGTTCTTCTGTGTAGCTTCAGTTGGAGAACATGTATTTGTACAGCTATCTGGAAAACCTGTGGCTGGATTGGAGGGAAATAGCAAATAAATCAGGTGGAGCCAGCTTCTCTTGTGGATATAAAGCTTGTTCTCTGTGATGAAAAAGGTTGCAGTGAGATGACTTTCAGAAGGCACAATCCAGCACAAACCACAGAAACCAACATTTGGCTAAAAGGAGCTGTTAAATGTGGCAAAGAAGAACGTTCCTCAGTTCAAGCTTGGGCTGATGGCAATTTAGGATGGTTAAACTAAATTGCCTCATGTTTATTGTTTGACTGGGCTCAGAGGAGCTCACTGTCACTGGCTTGTACTTTCGAGCAGGATTTTTAGGAGGGACTAGGCAAGTTCGTTCTTCCTCTGAAGAATATTTGTAGCTTATATTCAGGCACTGAGGGCTCAAGAACAGGCTTTGGGACTGGAGAAACAAAAGTCCAATTTGCTCTGTTAAAGTGGGGCCACTGCCCATGTGAATGATCTCAGCAAGTAGCAATGGTTGGTGCCCCTAGCCCTACCCTGCTCTTCCATGCATGACTGCAGGGGAGAGGAGCAGTGGGGAAGACTGGAGGGAGGTCACTTCTTATTTATCTCCCATCTCCTGGAAAGTTACTTCTTTCCCACACAATCACTTCTTGTTTAAATTGTGCCTTCAGTCTTTTAATTTCTTCACATTCTCCATTCAGCTTACAATAACAAAAATCTGCTTGATACATTTCAACTTTCTCTATCCTTACCTCTAGTACAAGGGTCACTGCTCTCTGCAGTTTAGCAGACTGCAGGATAAGTGCATACCACTCACTTAACTTGTGTGAGTTTTTTGGTGTGTTGTGTTTGGCTCTGATAGTTCAAGATTAACTGTGTGTGGCTGTGAGTGATGGTGTTTCTGAAAGATCTGCTCTTTATTAATCTAAGAGTTAAGACAACTTGGACCTGTGACTGATCTCATTGACATCAGGGGCAAAACTTGCACTGACTTAAGCACCTTTTAATTAAACCAGAAACAAATAACTAAACCAGCATCCACAAGTGTAGGGTAATTGAATTGACAGCAAAACTATAATCCTTCTCAGGCTCCAACACACCACTGGAATTTAACAAATTATTTATTATTCAATAAATTCTTACCTTCGTCGTAAATATGTACTTTTCTATCCAAAATTTTAATTTTGGCATAGAAAGAAAAACAGCTTTTCTTTCCAAGCTGTCAGATGACATTTTTCATAATGACCGAACAGCTTCTTTCTAGGAGAGGTTGTTCAAAGAAACCTCGGAATACATACAGCCAGATCTTCATCTCATCAGCATAGTCATCTTTCCAGGTGAACCTCACTGTAATGGCATTGCAGCCCCTTTGTGAACACCCAGGCTGTCCCAGTGTAGTCACCAAAATTCAACAAATCCCTCTGGAGTGTTTTAGGACCACAAACAGGGTTGCTTTATTGTTGAAGTTTTAACCCAAATGGCAGCCAAACACCATGCAGCCACTCACTCAGCCTCCCGTGCCCCAAGGGGTGGGGGAGAGAATTGGAGGGGCAAAGATAAGGAGCTTTGTGGGTTGAGATAAGAACAATTTAATAGCTGAAATAAAATAAATTTAAAATAATGATAATTGTAATGATAATGATAATAAAAAGATATATATATAAATGACTGATGCACAGTGCAATTGCTCACCACCCACTCACCAATGCCCATTCAGTTACCGGCTACAATCCCAGAGGAGAGAAAATACCAAAACCACACTCCTAGAAGAGACAGACAACCAGCTTTCCAGCCAACCCTCATCTATATACTGAGCATGATGTCATTGCATGGTATGGAATATCCCCTTAGCCAGTTTGGATCCATTGCTCTGGCTGTGCTCCTTTCTACGTGTACACTAGCAAAGAGCAAAGCATAGAAAGTTGAAAAGTCCTTGATTTCTTAGCAACAACTAAAAACATCAGTATATAATCAAGTCTTCTCATACCAATCCCATGCTAAATCCAAAACACAGCACTATTTAGCTGCTAAGATGAAAATTAGCTCTATCCCAGCTGAAAGCAGGACACCTACACATGGGGCCAGACAAACTTGCACCATAGCTTCATGTCCCCTTGCCGTAATAGTTCTTTGTGTGGATGAGACTTGCAGTGCCCATTACCTTTGGATGAATGTCGAGATTGTGATATCTTTCCTATTTTCATTTCTTTCTAGGTCAGAAGTTTTGTACTTTTTCTCTAGGGGTGCCAGACAGTGATAATCCCTAGATGTTACAGTCAGTGATTCCAATTATCTTAAATACAGGAGAATTTATTTTCCAGGGGAATGGCAAAGAAAATCTAAAGAAAAGTTAAGCAGCCTCCAAGTAGAACTGTGCTAATATTACAATGAGCACAGTTGGGTTTCAGCAGAAAATAAGATTCTGATCTCATTTAACTCACATCTGTGTCCGTCTACTGATCACACTGATTTTACTGATTCTCAACAACTGAAGTAAGATCAGAAACAGACTTTGCCTGTTTATGTTAGTTATTTGGTAAGCATAAAAGATGGTGAAGAATTTCTCATTTATACTAACAAATAGTATTACTAACAGCTGGGTCCAAAACTCACAATTGCATCTAACTAAAGACAAAATTCCTCCAAATTTGGAAATATTTTCAGTCACAGTGTAATAAGTCGTGATGATATTGTTTTGTATTATTCTCTCTTTCTGTCGCTGCACATTGCCTAATTGTCCCACCTCACTAGCACATCATTTAGATGATGAAAAACATGTTCTGACAGAACTGGAAAATCTAATATGGCTCTAAATATTTTCAGATTCCTTTTAAGACAAAATTATGTTACCTGAACACAAATTTCTGTTCTTAAAACCAAAACATTTTGTAACTGTTGACCTGATGGAACTTAGTTCCATTTACATTTATTTCTAAATGCTACAGGAAGCATAATTTGTTTTAGAGCCATTAAACACCCTTTGAGAGAAATCATGTCCTTGCTAACACCAGTAACAAAGCATCCGTTGGATTAAATGGGATCAGGTTCTCCCTCTCTTACACAAGAGTACGTGCACCACAACACTGGCTCATAGGTAAAAATACTTATTAAAATAAAATCAGTGCATGGTTATTTTGGTCAGTGACAATTTTAAAGGACGGGCTTTCTCCAGCACCCCATGCCTTCCCCAGCCATGCTCGGCACCCTGCCTCCCGTCCTCAGCCCTGCCAGGCTCCAGCTGCCTGGCCCCAAGGATGGGGCACGTTTCTCTCAGCCCCACTCAATGGCTCTTGTGAGAAAAAATTGAACGGGACTTGGCAGGGGATGAGAGGTCCTGACAGGGCAGGGAAGGAAAGAAATACTCATTTCCATGTACTCATTTCCCCAAAAGAGAAAGTTCTGTGTCACAAATTCTGATTTCAGTGGCAGCTGGGAAAAAAGCCAGATTTCGCACTGTTGAAGACCATGAGGTTTCTGTAGCAGCTTTTTTTTCTAAAATTGTGATCTCCAAAGTCCTCAGCTCTCCTCAAAGTCATTTCAGGCTTTTTGCAGACTGAGGGCACAACTGTATAGGTTCATGCTTATTCAAGGACTGTCTGAACAGCTCTGGGATGGGGAGAGTTAGGTGGTCAGTTTGTCTCATAATGAAAGCTAGGTTTCAACCAA